AATCAAATCTCCTAAAAATTTCTTAAAAATCCATTCATAATCTTCAAAAGAAGAAGAATATATATACATATACATAAGTGTATACTTTATATACGGAAAAATGAATTATTCATTAATCAACTAATTAATCGATCAATAAAAACAAAACAAAATAGATAAGTAAGTAAAAAGAGAAGTAAAGTACTCTGAGAAAACCTATATATACTTTATACGAATATACAAGGGCATATTTTTGATGAGAGCCCGGATTAAATTTAAGCAAATTTCCTTATCAAAATTATACTTTATTCCCTATTTTTATAAATATGATATAATTAAAATAATCTTTATAAAACTTTGAAATTCACACCGATTTTAAATATTTATTGAATAATTATTTTGATATTAATTTTATTGATTTTAATAAAAGATTTAATTAATAAATCTTATATAGAATTTCAATCTTTGAAATAAGTATTATTTTTTATAATAATTTTAAATAACAATAATTCCTCTTAGATTTTAATTAGTTTAGAAAAGTTTATAAAGAATCTAAAATTATTATAAAATTATATATTAAAATCTATTTATATATAAAATTTTAAATACATAATAATATTAATTAAATTAAATATTGAATTCTAAAATAAATGATTTTTAATATGAAAAGTACTTGTATACAGACTCAGGCCCTCATTAAAAACAGCCCTTATAATCGATCGATAAAAACAAAATAAAACAGATGAGTGAGTAAAAAAAGGAGTAAAGTACTCTGTAAAAATCTATATACTTCATACGAGTATACGATATAGATGATGGGTTATTTATATCTCTCATTTATTTATTTAATAATCTCGAATCTCGAATCTCGAATTATTTCATACTCTAATAAATAGTAGATAGATAGTAGACCTACTCGAGTCATTACGACTTAGGGTTCGTTCGGATCGATTTTTTATTTTATTAGTGAAATCTCTAATAATAATAAAATGATAAGGGGTTTGAAATATTGAAGCTAATATGTATTTAGATGAAGCTAATATATTTGGAATAATATTGGGATATGTAAGGTTGAGTTGAAAATGAAGAAGATAATGCTTTTTCTCAAATATATTTGCTTAATTAGATTTCAAAAGTTGTTGTTAGTTATTGTATGAGAAAAGTTGAGAAAATTTGTTATATTTGTTATTTTAAGATTATTTAACTCAATATTTTATTAGTTCAAATATTATGTTTATTTCGAAATATTTTAGTTACATATTAGATCTAATATAGTCTAATATATATTGAGCTCAATATTATGTTCGATAAACACTATATTAGGCTAATATATTAGTCTAATATCCAAAAACAAATCGATCCGAACGGGCCCTTAGAAAGATAGAAATAATAATTCGTTATAATAACGCGTATAGCTGAAGACTCTAGAGAGAGTACGTATAAAGTATAGGATTAATTTTATATATATACGAAGGGAATATATAGGTGTATATATAGATAAGTATGTAAATAGATATAACTATATATATAAACGAATAAACAAATTGTTAGAAATTAGATATTAGAGTTTTTAGAACCTAAGGCTTATAGAAAGAGAAAAGAGAAGAGGAAGATAATTAACTTTCGAGTAGATATATAGAATAGTTTACTAGTATATTATAGTTAGATATCTATACATCTATTCTATATATATATTCAAAATACTATAAATAAATTCAAAAGAAAAAAATCGAATTTGAAGATTTCTCAATCAAATTTCAAGCTACGATTTTATATTATATTATATCATCTATCTGAATATCTATTTATAAATATCAATCGTAACTATAACTATTTAAAAATAAAATCACTCTATAATAATTAATTAGAATAGATTCTCAAAATAAGTATAAACATAATTTTCTAAATTATCTATTAATAAATATTCTTAGGGATTTAATCTTGATTTTTGATTATAAAACGAGTAAAGTAGAGTATTTTATTTTATAATTAAGAATTCTTTTTTAATTTGTAACTTATAACTTACTATTATCTAGGTACTTATATTATATTATATTATATTATATTATATTATATTATATTATATTATATTATATTATATTATATTATGTTATATTATATTATATTATATTATATTATATTATATTATATTATACTATATTATACTATATTATACTATACTATATAAAAACAAACAAAAAACAATATAAAAATATATAATTTAAACAAACGAACAACTAAACAACAAACAACAAGTAAAACCAAGACTAACTCATTTTATAAATCTACCTCGTATAATTCGTATTCTCCCGTATCCGTATATTATCTACCTAGGTATATATCGATAGATACCTATCTAGACAAAGAGAGAGGCGAATAAGAAAGAAGAAAGAAAGAAATGTAAAAAAAGATCTTTATATAATAATATAATAAATATAGTATTAAATCTTAAAGAAAAGAATGAGATAATTTCTCCTCGCCTCCCTCCCCTCCCCTCTCAATTCCAGAACATTTTCAAATCTTACTTTCAAATCTCAAATCTGAATCTCATCCCGATTCCCCGTATTGAAAATAATAAAATACCTAAAATCTAAAATCTCGAAAAGAGAATAAAATATCTACCTACCTATCTATCTATCTACCTATCTATCTACCTACCTATCTACCTACCTATCTACCTACCTATCTACCTACCTTTCTACCTATTTATCTATCTATTTATCTACCTACCTACCTCTATCCATCAAATTCGTACCTAGTATTCAATGTTCATTCATCTATCTATCTATTCATCTTTCCATCTATCCATCCATCCATCCATCCATCCATCCGTTTATCCGTCTGTCTCGACTTAGGAACGAACGAACAAACGAACGAATGGTTGTTGCTTAAGCTCGCTAGCGGACGAGGCACTGTAGCTACCTACATAGTTCACAGTAACAAGTAACAAGTTACAGCACAAAACTTCACTACCTACCTACCTAGGTATTCATGCTGGCCGCATCTTGAATCTTGTATCTATCCACTGTCCACCTATTCATAATTCATAATCCATAATCCACAATCCACAATCCACTACTCAAGTACCCAAGTCCTCATCCTCATCCTCATCCTCGCCTTGGAACTACAAAATCAATTACTCGAGTACATACACATACATACCGGTACGGTAATCAACATCATATCGAACAATAAGAAGGGAACCTTGGAACCTTGGAAAAGGAATACAGAATACTCCGTACTAGGTTGACTACACTACCTATCTAGGTGTTAGAAAAAAGAATTGGGGAAGATCCATTTATCAACTCATCGAACCAATCATGCATGCATGCATCGAGCCATCTCGGACCCAAGATGTACGGAGTCGAACATCCCAAATCATTTTCAGGGGTAATCTTTGGTCTGCTTGAAATCTTGGACTAACGTTGAGCACTCGGACCAAGGTGCATCAGAGTGATTACGAGATGCTTGTCACTTGCAGGAGAAATAAAATGGCAAATGATGTCTAACTTGATTGAGATGAGTTTAATTTTCATAATTGATAGAGTAGGATTGGATTGTTGGTAAACAATTCCATTGTTCAAGATGGAGTTTGGCCACGGATGAATCGTAATGTTTTATCCGTCAAAGATACATTGTAGTATGGGTATGAAGGAGGTCATGATCGTAAGAGGTATATGTAGTTGACTGATTACCTAGTATATAAAATCCATAAACTCTGAAGCATTCAAGCGTTGGAGAAAAGCTATTTATATGATTAGTATAAGACAAGAAGTCTGAGAGAAGCAGAGTAAGGTTAAGATTCCTATGTCTATATTAGGTAGTTAGACGTTAGAAACTCCTTTGGTATGAAATAAGAATACCGGTCGGTACCCAAGGGATATCGTAATCATCACCAAGGATCAATCTAAAACCACCAGGCCAGCGATCAATCCATTGAAACTCCTCATCCAAGTTATTTTGGATGAATGATGAATGATGAACGATGAACGATGAAGCGTCTTCACAGTACATGAGAGATTCGTCCTGGACAACGAATCCAAGATCCACTAGTGACTGATTTACCTACCTAGTACCGTATACACTTTCACCAGCCAGTAATGTTATGATGTTGGATGGTGTAGTGCATCTTCCAAGAGTCGTCCCTGTGCCGTACGTCGTACTATGAAAAGGAAGAGGTTCTCAAGCCATTCATTGGAATGATGCGCAACAATCCTAGAGACTGATACTCCTCAACGTATCACTCGGTGGTTTTAACTCAGTCGTAATCATCCAGATAACAAGATAACGAGATGATATAGAATCCCACGAAGAAGATATTCATTTGATCTTGAGATTCAATAGTGGAAGAAATGTGCTGTGAACTGTACCCTTTGAACAAGGTCAACAAGAAGAACAACAAGCTTTCCACCATGTACTGGTCAGGTGTAACTGGAAGTAGTATGTAGGTGGTAGGTATGATTGTGATGTGCTGATATTCATCCACTTCTTCATTTCCGAGTCTCCATAAAAAGTAGATTCGTACCTAGCTAGGTAAGGGTCGTTGGCATGGGAAGTGGACCGGGAGGTATTCACATTTGTATTATTAGATCCATTGAGATCACATTCAGATGGATAATGACCTAATGAAGGCTCCAGTGATGAGTAATACTACCTAGAACGGACTAAAGGGGAATAGACTAAAGTTCTAGATCCTTTTATATACCCGCGGTGCACCGACCCGTACCTACCTAGATAGCGAGCTTTTACCAAGTAAAGGAAACTAAAACAAGCAAGAGCTTTTGCCGAATCGGGTAAGAGATAAACAGGAATACTCATACCAAGCGTCCCTCGCAGCCAATCACATCTCCCGTGACCTCTTTTAACTTTCGTAACTTTTTCAAACTTCACTCTCCTTCACTAGGAACTCACGACTAAAACAAGCCTCTCGTACTAGGATCCTCCCCTTTTTTTATGAGTGACTAGGGATTTTGACCACTTCCGGCCGCCCTGCCAACTTCTGAGGGAAGAAATAGAATTTCATTTGATTGGATTTCATTTCCTACGCCTGTAACCTTTTTGAAGAAAAAGCCACCCACTTCTTTTTGGAACCGGATTCCTTCTCTCTCTCTTCGAAAAAAGTTCATATCGTCGTCTTCTTTCCCATTGCTTTCTTTCCACCACTTCATTACTGTCGTTAAGATTCTATCACTCACTTACATTAATAATATTCAAATCGCACTCAACAATCCGACACGCACAGAAGGATCTATCTACGTATAATTGTCGAAAAGAGAAAGAGTAATTTCATCAACATCAATCAAATCAAAAGGGTGAGTCGATTTCTTGAAAGCTTTCCATCATCATCATCTCCTTCCTCTTGGATGAATGAGAGTATACATTCACTTCCAGTCATTTCGATCATCACTCATTACAATAATCGGTCAATCCATCCATCAATTCCTTCCTCCGTCACATCTCTCGTGTATTTGATTGTTTGATTCCTTCCCTTCCTTCCTTCAACAAGTTGGTTCTTGCATTTGCACCTCGCTTTCAAATTTCTCGCACCACCTTCTTCAGGAATTCGGATCATTAGCCACTTCGTCCTCCATTGAACAATCTTCCAACTTCATCCCAAATTTATTCATCTTCGATCAACACTTTTTGCATTCTTCTTACCAAAATTGAACTAACAATTGCGAAGTCACTGTAGAAGCTACTTCAAATCAACCATGTTCTCCAAAGCCCTTCTCCCGGCTCTCGCAGTCGTCGGCACTGTTTCTGGTAAGTTTTCAATCTTTCATCAATACATTCAGAGGTTGGATACTGTGCATCAAGGGGCACCAGGAGAGTAATCAATTCGATCTGTGGTGCCTCGTAATGTAAACGGGAGAATGGCGAATCAAGATAATATAAATACTAACAGACGTTTTTCCATTTAGCTGCTACAACCGCCTCTGTTTGCTCCCAAGCAACTGCCACCATCAACAGTGCTGCTGATGCCACCGCTTTGGCCGATTGCAAAACCATCTCTGGTGACGTTGTCATCAGTACTACCGCATCTGGTACCATTCAACTCAATGGACCTGAACATATCGAAGGTAGCTTGATGGTCGAGAACAACGGAGCCATTACATCCCTTTCAAGTACTTCTCTTACCACCATTGATGATACTTTCGGCTTGAGCAATTTGACTCTTCTGTCTACCCTCCAATTCTCCGTCCTTGACACCATTGGAACGATCAACTGGGCTGCTCTTCCAGCTCTCCCAGCTCTCACTTTCACCAATGCCGTTAGCACCGCCAAGAGTGTCACCATTACCAACACCTTCTTGAGCACTCTCGATGGTATCAACTTGAACACCGTTGACACCTTGAACATCAACAACAACAACCGTCTCAAGACCTTCAGCACCCAAGTTGGAAATGTCACCACTCTTCTCAACATCGATTCCAACGGAAAGAACTTGGATGTTAGCTTCCCTAACTTGATCTGGGCTGCCAACATGACCTTCCGTAACGTCTCCAGTGTCAGCATTCCATCTTTGGCCGTTGTCAACGGATCCCTCGGTTTCTACGAGAACTACTTCACCAGTCTCAATGCACCAAACTTGACATCCGTCGGTAACACTGCCAACGGACAAGGTGGATTGGCTTTCGTTGCTAACCCATCCCTCGCCAACATCACCATTCCTATGCTCGAGACCGTTGGAGGTGCTTTCCAAATTGCCAACAACTCTGCTCTTGATGCTATCAACTTCCCAGAGTTGACTCAAGTTGGAGGTGCTATTGATTTCTCTGGAAACTTCACCACGTAAGTTCTTGAATGATGCAAACTCGTATTGTGAGGATTAGCTAACATTATCCTTCTAGCCCTGAATTGCCAAAGCTTAACGACGTTAAGGGTGGTTTCAACATGCAATCCACTACCTCCATTGACTGCAGTGGATTCAAGTCTGAGCATGACAGCGGTAACATCCAAGGTACCTACACTTGCAAGACCACCGCCAATGCTCAATCCGGAACCGGAACCAGCTCCAGCTCTTCCTCAAGTGCCTCTGCTTCTTCTAGTAAGGGTGCTGCTGTCTCCTACGGTGTTAACGAGGCAGTCATGGGTGTCTCCGTCATCGGAGGTTTCTTGAGCATGTTGTTGTAAATCATTGGGACGTCGGCGTTTTTCCTTTAATTATCACATTAGACCTAATATGCCACGTTCTCTCTGTTTTACATGACTTTTCATAAGCTTTTGAGCGGTTTTCACCTTCATTAGGATCATTAGGGGCGTGTGCTTTGCATATCAGTTGCTGTCGAGGTTGCTCTACTTGTGCACCTGTCACACTGATGGTATACAGAAAAATTCCATGAAGTTATTTAAGGGGATGGGTGGGAAACATTAAGCTTTTGAGAAGAGAGAATCCGAAATTGTACATTTGAATATTGTTTCCCTGGAATTGAGAAGTGCAGAGAATAATAATGAATCTCTTTTTTAAACCATAATACTATAATGTCTGTCTTTATTTGTTACATGACCTTGTGTGTTCTCGACCTTGCCAAGTTTTGATGTGATTTAATAAATCGGTAATTGTAAGATCTACCGTGTAGTGTATCATGAAGTTAATTAGAATGCGGGTCGTCTCGATCCTTGAGTTGATTAGTGTGGGTCTTGAAATAAATATCAGGACTGTTGTGGATGTGAGTGAGTGTGAGTGTGTTATTGGAGATTGATATAGATATTGAGATTAATATCGATATTCTTGGTATATTAAGTTATTTGTTTTATGTTTTATGTTTATATACTTTTATGTTTTATGTTTATATGTTTTATATTTATATTTTCATATTTTGTGATTTGTGTTTTGTGTTGTGTTTTGTGTTGTGTTTACTAGGTACTTTATTGATTATAATTTTTAGTAGGTATTTAGTAGGTATTTAGTAGGTATTTAGTAGGTATTTAGTAGGTATTTAGTAGGTATTAGTAGGTATTTAGTAGGTATTTAGTAGGTATTTAGTAGGTATTTAGTAGGTATTTATTTAATAGATAGGGAGTGGGAGATGAGGAGGGGGAGATGGGGAGGGGGAGATGGGGAGATGGGGAGATGGGAGATGGGAGATGGGGAGATGGGGAGATGGGGAGATGGGGAGATGGGGAGATGGGGAGATGGGGAGATGGGGAGGGGGTTGGATTTATGAATGGGGTTGATAGTTACAGAGTGGAGTGAAGGGGCGGGAGTTGCTGGCTTGCTGGCTGGGCCTTGCTGGCTGGGCCTTGCTGGCTGGCCTTGCTTTCTGGCTGGGTGCGTCCTGCCTGGGCCTTGCTTTCTGGCTGGGTGCGTCCTGCCTGGGCCTTGCTTTCTGGCTGGGTGCGTGCTGGGCGGGCCTTGCGCTTGCGCTTGCGCTTGCGCTTGCGCTTGCGCTTGCGCTTGCGCTTGCGCTTGCGCTTGCGCTTGCGCTTGCGCTTGCGCTTGCGCTTGCGCTTGCGCTTGCGCTTGCGCTTGCGCTTGCGCTTGCGCTTGCGCTTGCGCTTGCGCTTGCGCTTGTGGCCGCGGCCGGGGTTTGGGTGCGTGGGTGGTGCTGGGTGCTGTGTGGGTGGGTTGCTCGTTGGGTGGTGCTGCCTGGCTGGTGCTCGGTCGTGCTGGCTGCGTGGGTTGCTGCCTGGCTGCGTGGGTTGCTGGGTCGTGCTCGGTGGTGCTGCCTCGTCCCTGCGTCGGTCCTGGTTGCTCTCGCTGGGTGGTGCTCTGGCCCTCTCTGGCTCCTCGCTCCTCCCTGCTGGCTGCTTTGCTCTTCGGTCGCTCCTTGCCCTCCGTGCTGGGCGCTTCGTGCTGGCGCCTCGCGCCCTTGGCTCTCGTTCGTCGCGTGTCTTGTCTTGTTCTGGCGGGGCGGGCCTGCGGCGGCCTGCCGCGGGGCTTGCGGCGGCCGGCGGCGCGTGCGGAGGACTCGGCAGCGTGCGGCCCGGCGGCCGGCGCGGACCCCGCGCGGGGCCTCCGCTGCACGTGGGGCCTCTCGCCCGCGCCGCGTGCGGACCCGCGGCCGGACGCGGGGCCTGCGACCGCGCGTGCGGCCGGCGGCCTGCGCGGGGCTCCGCCGCTCGCCGCGGCCTCGCCGCAGCTTCGCCCCTTGGCTGCGCCCCGTTAGGCTCGGCCTCATCTCCTCCCATCGCTCGGTCCGATGTTGTGCTCCTTGTGTACGTAAGTACTCATCAGGTCGGATCGGTCGTGTAGTGTAGTGTAGTGCAGGTAGAAAGGAAAGGTGGAAAGGAGAGGAAAGGGATGAGAGGAGAGGAGAATACCGAGAGTGGTGAAGAAAGATAGGAGAGGAAGGGCGAGATGAGGCGAGGTGAGAAGAGAAGAGAAGAGAGAGATATATGCTGATAGACGGATGGTGAAGGGGAAGAGGTGAGTAGTGAGTGATAAGTACTTTGGAAGAAGGAGTGGAAAGGAGGAGTGGAAAGGAGGGAAGGAGGTGGATGGGTAAAGCAGTTATATTGTACCTAGGTAGGTATAGATGGATTGGTAAGTTGATATGGGATATGAATGAATACAAGATGAGATGAGATGAGATGAAATTTTGTAGAAAATATAGATTAGTTAGTCAGTTAGTCAGTTAGTTAGTTAGTTAGTTAGTTAGTTAATCAGTCAGTTAGTCAGTCAGTTAGTCAGTCAGTCAGTCAGTCAGTCAGTTAGTCAGTCAGTCAGTCAATCAGTTAGTCAGTCAGTCAGTCAGTTAGTCAATCAGTTAATTAGTCAGTCAGTTAGTAGTTAGTCAGTTAGTCAGTCAGTCAGTCAGTCAGTAGCTAATCAGTCAATAATATACAAACAAACAGATACATAAACAGGAAATATAAACAAGTAATTCAAGAATCTAGAATCTAGATATCCATATAAAATCACTTAGAAGGATTAGATGGATTAAATAAGATGAGTTTAACTTGTATAGAATAATACAATATAATAAGATGAGATAAGATGAAAGAAAGAAAGAAAGAAAGAAAGAATGGAAGATTGAAGCTAGATAAACATTGGAAGTTGGAAGGTGGAAGGTGGAAGATGGAGGATTATGGGTTAAATTTAAATAGAGATCTCGATAGGATGGTTTGTGTGATGGATGGAGGGATGGAGGGATGATATGGAGAAACCTACCTAGCTTAGAACGGATCTTGCGTTTGTAGTGACGCGCAGATTAGAAAGATAACGAGGATTGATGGGTAGAGGGACAAAAGATGAATGAGATGTGATGAATAGGGGGAAAGATGTACTCTGGTAGTGTACTCAGTGGCAGGCAACTATTCATGCACTATTCTACTGTATCAGAGAGGTTCGAATTTCTTGAAAAATTTCATTGAATTCTAACTAAAAAAAACATGCTCTGAAATCAAAACACAAGTATGTGTATTAACGAAAACGAAATTTGTAGTACATCTAGGAACACATCTGCATAAAGATATTATCCCCTTAAACGGATTGGAAAGGTAGCCAGATAGCTCTACAATTTAGCCTTAGGTTGCTTAAGCATTGTATCTGCCACTATTCTCCTTTGAATCTTTCCTGTAGCTGTCTTTGGCATGACATCCGAAAAGTATACCTGTTTTGGCACCTTGAACTTGGCCACTTTATCCGCAACCCATTGCTTCAACTCTGATGCAGTCAACTTTTGATCTGGCTTCAATACAATAGCAACACCAACATCTTGGCCATACATTTCATCGGGTATAGCAAAGCTGACAGCTTCGGAAACAGCAGGGTGACGGGCTAGAACATTGTCTAGCTCAATAGGAGAGATTTTCTCGCCTCCTTTATTGATAAGTTCCTTAATGCGGCCAGTGATAAACACATATCTATCTTTATCCATTTTTCCTTGATCACCAGTTCTGAAAAATCCTTCTTTGGTAAATGACTCCTTGTTGGCTTTCTCATTATTGAGATAACCTTTCGTGACGTTCTCGCCGCGAATAGAAATTTCTCCTTCAGAACCAATTGGAACTTCCTTACCCTCGCCATCGAGAATTCGTACTTCAACTCCTTGACCAATTCCCACAGAGCCAGGTTGACGTTTTCCGGGTGGAAGAGGATTGGATGTCATTTGATGGGACGCTTCTGTCATGGCGTAGGCTTCAAGGACAGGAGCATTGTATGTTTCTTCCAGAGCGTGGAAAGTGGTTGGAGACAGAGGGGAAGAACATGATCGGATGAATCGAATGTTGGGTTTGGTGGTGGGTGGTGGATTCTTCAAGAGAATCTGATGAATAGTTGGAACAGCAGTATACCAATTTGCTTTGTGTGTAATGAAATCGGTCCAGAATTCTGAAGCAGAGAACTTAGGGGGAACGATGACAGAACCACCGGACATCAATGGAGCTAGGAAACCCGCTAAAAGTCCATGAACGTGAAATAGAGGCATAACGAGCATGGTACGATCCGCAGGAGTAAGCTTGTATGTAGCTTGTATGTTTTTCATAGTTGTAGTGAGGTTCCTGTGTGTCAATGGCACAGCCTTTGGTCTTCCCGTCGTTCCACTGGTATGTAAAACTAAAGCAACATCATCTGGTTGCGCCTGCTCAACCTTTTGATTTCCTTTCCCCTTCAATTTTCCCTCATCCTTAACATCCAAAACAACCTCACTGCCATTCCAGTAACATTCTGCAATAGCCGCATTATATTTTCTTGCAGCCCTCACAGCAGGTCCATCTTTCTGAAACGAATCCTTGGGAACGAGAGCAACTGCTGAGCTCAAATCATCAATATAGAATTCGAATTCCTCTTGCTTGTATGCGGAGTTGAGAGGTGCAGCAATTCCTCTTTGCCATGATGCTGCTAAGAAGGCAATAATGAATTCATAGGTATTTGGTAGAGCAATTGATACTGCAGCTTGTGGTGTGACACCAAGCTTGGCGAGCTTCTTTTGAAATGAGGATATCTCGGCGGTGAGCTGTTTATAGGTAATCGTAAGAGGTTGCTTTCCTGGGACAATAATTGCTGTGGTAGTATTGCCAGTGGAGAAGGAATTGGCGAGGGTAGCAGCAGACATCTTGGCCTGCGTGGGTTCGTAGACGATGGTTGGTTGAGACGACGATAAGTACAAGGTATGAAATAGAGCCAAGATCAGAATGTAACTTGAAGAATCCGAAGAATTAACGAATGAGGTATAAAATTTCAAATATCGTCGTTTTGTTTAAGTTAGGATGGAAGAGAAACTTGATTGTCACGTATGAGATTAATAAGAACCATTCCCAGACTTTCTAAGCTTTCCGAGCTCGCAAAGGTTCCGCGCCTCTCCTTAACTTCTTATCCACGGCGTCCTTACCTTATCGGACAGAAGCTCCTCGTCACCTGACTTTGGTGACATCTACCAGGTACAGCCTTATGCGCCAGGCTGTGGTTTCGCAAACAACTGAAATTCAACATTCAACGGCCTCTCCATTTGACTACTTTTCTTTTGCATGGTTAATATATCAATATGTCTAATCCTCCCAATGCTACTCCTGCACGGAATGGGCTTTCTCTCTATGCAAACTTGTTAGATCCATCATCGAGTGATACACCCGGCTCTATTACCAAAGGACCTGTGGTTTTCAATTCAGTGGAAGATGAAGCTTCTAAGAAACCCCAAATTGATGCTGGTATGCTATGAATGATTTGAATTCAATCTACGTTTCTGCGCAGCTCACTCAATTTTTGAATAGCTGCCCTTAGATTTCAACCCACGAGGAGACCACAGCTTTCTCAAAAGCCAAAAGCGAAATCGACATTCCCAAAAGCTGCCATTGCCAGTCTGAATGCCAATGAACCGAGCAAAGTAGTCGCGAAGACTACCACATCCAATACTGCCAAACCTACTTCTAAGAGCACCTTGGCCGATTGGGCCGCTGACGATGATGACGTGAATGGATTCTATGTTGGAGAGAAAAGGCAAAGAGGTGGCAGGAAACGAAGGAAGAAGAATAGGGAAGAGCAAGCCGTCGCGCAAGATTGGGACGATATTTACGATCCTTCGCGGCCAAACAACTACGATGAATATAAGAATAGTGATGAGAAGGTTCGAGAGGTACGAGAGTGGAAGGATAGACTTTATGCTCATAGAATGGCGCGGAAGACATCAAGCGATAGTGATGACGAGGAATCATATCGTCCAAAGATTGGTAGTAAGTGATCTCTTTTCATGCTTCTTTTTCTCATGGGACTAATGATTTTCAGACCAATTTGCCCCGCCTCCGAATTATTCATTTGCTCCACCCCCAATTGATTCTCCTCCTAAGAATCGTTCAAAGTCCCCACAAAGTGACTCTTATAGCCCTACTCTTGGGGCAGAATCTAATCCACCTCCTCCACCTCCCGAAGATCAGCCATTACCTCCACCAGTACCATTGACAGGGGCTATTTCCAGAGCACCAGTGCGATATAACCTACCGCCGGCGCCAAGTGATCTTCCAGCTTCGGAAGCAGAGCTAGATAAAGCTCTTGCAGACGAAGCAGACGGGGAAGATGAGGGAGAAGCTGATGAGAATGCGCCAAAATCACTTCGTCCGGGTCAAAAAGGGTTTGCAGAGCGTCTAATGTCTAGATATGGCTGGAGTAAAGGTTCAGGACTGGGGGCCGATGGTTCTGGTATGATTACACCTCTTCAGGTCAAACTTGACAAACGGAAGAAGAAGTCCGATGCAGAAGGCGGCGGGTTTCGCGATGCGGGGGGCAGAGGAAAGATCATTGGTGGTAAGAAGGTTGTTAAGGAGGAGGAAACAGGCAGATTCGGACCGATGTCAGAAGTCATTGTGCTGCGTGGAATGGTAGATAATATGGATTTAGATGAGGAAGTAGAAGGATCAGGGGATGGGGGTCTGATGCAGGAGATCGGGGATGAATGTGGTGAAAAGGTATGTTCAATTGTGGCAATGGCTGAAAAACATCCACTAACAAGCTTTAGTATGGACGGGTTGAACGAGTCTATATCGATAGGCAAAGTGCCCCAGCAAAAGTTTTCGTCAAATTCACTAATCAGTTATCAGCTCTGAGGGTACGTAACTCAATTGCCACTCTTTTATTGACTGTAGCTAATCTAGACAGGCTGTTAATGCACTCGAGGGGCGTATATTTAACGGGAATACCATATCAGCTTTGTTTTATGATACGGAAACTTTTGAGAAGGGTATCTATGAATAGATAATTACATTTTGTTCACAAATCAATGATTTCCGCAGTTCTGTTTTGTCTTACTGTGCATTATTGCCTGATTGTTGCGCAAATACATCCATGGGTAGTCCCGTTGCATATCATCTCGGCTTCGATCTTGTCACATTTTTCTCATCTTGCATATTCATTCATCGGAACAACATGGTCGCCCGGATAAGCGTCCTTGGCGATCAACCTCCAGCTGGTAAAATCAAGAGTGATGTAACGTGGCTTCGGGATAGTGATTTCAAGAGAAGACCAATACCAACAATGCCTTCGTCAATCTGCAGCTGGACCCTAAGATGAGTACTACTGCCCAATCGGAATTGTATTCCTATAGTTTCAATTTCTAGTTTGTTATGTCATCGAATGTGTTTTGATATTGTTTTAGTATTTCGGTTAAATTACATGAAATGTACTACTCCTTTCAATTTGAATTACCAAGAAGAATGAACAAAGTACATTAAGAATAGAAAATCAATATTCTGTTGTATATGGAATAGATTGGAGGGCTTCACATAAAACTTTCCTAGCCTTGAATGATTTCTCGATTTGATCGTAGTCTTGGCACTACAGCGTCTCGTAATTATGATTGCTATTGTGTTCCACAGGTGTAGCAATTCCATAGCTCACATCCCAGCCTTTGTTGCACCATATATCTTATGCAGCCTCTCCCCAAAAAGGTTAGGAAGATACAAGGGCAACCTCAAAAGTTGCAATCTTTTGATATATCTATTTCTACTATTTTGGAGTCGACATTTCTCGTTCACAAGTTCCATTGAAGAGCATTCTCTCGTTCATCAACAGTTCGCTGCTATCAGGCCTCGAAAGTTCATATTCAATTGGTACCATTCATTTACCTAAAATGTCGAATTTCACAGACACTTCAACCTTTTCCCCAGCGCCATCTTGCGCGTTACACCCTCGTTCACCTCTGTTATCTGGGATGTCTGATCACACGTTGGGTGTAATTCTGCCCACATTGGTCTACATCATTGGGAGTGTAGTCTTTTACATCGTCAATGAGCTTGAATTGTTTAGCAGCTATCGCATCCACCCACCGAAGGAGGAACTACATCGAAACCGCGTGTCAAAGCTGGGCTGTCTTCTTGTTGTCATTCGTTATCATGTTATACAGATCGTGATAGGAATACTTCTCACTTACAACAACGAGCCGGAGCTTGTGGAAATTGGGGGCTGTGAAACATATCAGTGGGTGCGAAGGGTTAGAAAGTGTCTTACGGTCATCCCTTGGGCATTGACATTGCTCGGTTTAGATACTCAAGGACTCATATCGAAATTTGGCAAAACACCTTTGCTATCACATATTTCGGCAAACAGTTATGAGATATCATCAAGCCCGACATTTACTGCCATGGAATGGAACTTGGCGCGTATCATAGTTTCTTTCGCGATTCCAGCGATACAGTTCTTCGTGTATCTCGCAATTGTTGATACATGGATCTATTTTGCACATCGTCTCTGCCACATCAACAAGACTCTTTATCGTTCGTACAGGATCTTCTTTTTGTAAATCCTTTCACTCGAATTTTTCTGATTGAAAATTTTTCTAGGGATTGTACATGCTCAGCATCATCAACTCTACGTTCCTTATGCTTATGGAGCCGTGTATGCCCATTGGCTCGAAACTCTTTTTATGGATATATTGAGCTTTATCTTAGCAAACGCCATTTCAGGAATTTCAGTTCGTCAGGGAATGGTTGTGACATCGCTAGCGACGTTAAAGACCATTAGTGATCATTGCAATTTTGTATTTCCATGGGATCCTTTCGGGTATATCAATGGAAACAATGCAGCATTTCACGATTTGCATCATCAAAGTTGGGGTCTCAAGGTCAGTGAAATCTCGGGTCTTGAGACAATTTTGTTTCTGGAGATACTAACACGAGTCTACCTAGTATAACTATTCTACATACACGGTATTTTGGGATAAATTCTTTGGGACCGAATGGACTGATACTACAGGGGCGGACATGCGTTACGCTCGAACTCGCGAGTTAGTCAAAGCTCGCAGGGAGACAGACGAGGTGACAATCGTGCACCCGAAAGCGGCGTAGAGGAGATTTAGAATATCTACCTCCGGAGATAAAGCATCTTGTGCCTCGGTGTCGAAAATATATATGGAGGGGTTACCTATTCTTTGTAGCCAATGTGCCCAGCAGTTCAGACTGCAATTCAATTTGAATTCGTCAGATTTTGAATCTTGGAGAACGTTTTAGTCATTCTGATATAGTTGTTATCTTAGATAGATAGTAGTCAAAAGTTTTTCAGCTTTGAAAATCAATACAGTGGTTAGGATAATTTCAATATTCAATAGTTCCTGTTTGCTGGGCTGCAGTCCGGACTACCGAAAACACTGCACACAATGTTCATGACTTCCATTAACTTGTAGCTCAATCTTCTACTGATGGACTACTATACCCGTTTAATCAAGCACGGAAAAGATACCCGTCTTGTTTGGGCATAGCGCTGGGTTGTCACACCTGATTAGTTTTACTAATTGTGTGCCGCGTTTCCATCGTCGTGTCGGTTAATGACCCCTGATATTCGTAACCTGATATTCGTAAACAATATTCTTGAATGTGATGAGCAATGCAGCCACAAACAAGTCGATACAGCTGAATCATACAGGTGCATACTATGAGCGCCACCATGAATTTTCTCTTGTCGACGTAACTTAAGTATGCATTGCTACAAATCGGGACAATGTTAAATGCACTTATCATGGTTGTGCTGTGAATACAACCGGGCAACAAAAACTACATGGATATGGCTCACTGAGCATTTCTGCTATAAAATAGTATTTCAGTTTGAGTTTCTTGGAGTCTCAACTAAATCTCTCCAGCGTTGAAGCTTTTCTCACATCGTTGGTACAGCTATCACTCAGAATGGATACTCCAATGACCAATACCTCTTCCTTCACCCCCGCCTATACGGTGTCATCTCCTCACCTTTATCCTCGCCCGCCTATGTCCTCTCACATCTCAGACTTCCACCTTACCCTCCTACTTCCCGTTTTAACATACTGGCTCACTGCTCTCTTCTGGTCAATCATCTCATATTATGATATCTGGTCTAGCTACCGCATTCATACACCAGCCGAAATCGAAAGTCGCAATCGTGTCACAATCCCCCAAGTCCTGCGCTCTATTCTCGGACAGCAGCTATTCCAGACAGCATGGGGACTGTTCTTAGGCTATTGTGTTCTTGGAACTCAAGAGATGGTAGGGTCAGAGGATTATGATATTGCTATGTGGGCGGAGAGGGTTGTGAAAGGATATTCCTGGATACAGTGGAGCTTGAGGATGAGCATGATGGGCTTGGGATTGGATCTTGCGAACTCCAAAGGGTCTTTGCATCTTCCGGTCCGTGTTAATATCACTACGTCTGTAAGTTAATTTATCTGAACTTATCATCTTCGACAATGGCTGATGTGTGCAAAGGATGGAAGAATTATTGCGTGGGAAATGGTAGTCGCGCAAGTGATATATTGGCTTCTTGCACCTGCAGCTCGATTCGCGATTTGCATCTTCATCAGCGATGCATGGCAATATTTTGGACATCGTGCTTTTCATGAAAATAGATGGCTATACCGTACGTATCATAATGTTGTCTCTCGAAAATCTTTATCAAATTGCTAACCTATTCCGGCTCATTAGGAAATGTTCACTCCCTACACCACCGCGTCAACGCACCTTACGCATTCGCTGCATTTTACAATACTCTTACCGAATCATTTATCATGGATACCTGTGGAGTCAGCGTTGCGTTTTACTTTTCCGGACTTCACCTGCGTGAAGCTTTGGTCTTTTCTATCGTCAGCGTGTTGAAAGGCGTCGATGATCACTGTGGATACAGACTCCCATGGAATCCCATCCAATGGTTGGGCGAACAAGATACTTCGTTTCATGATATCCATCACCAGACTTGGGGTGCTACCGTAAGTTGCTGATTGTCTCCTGTAACTCCTTTGATGATAAACTGGGCTTAGACTTGGAAAATTAAAACTGACTATTGGTTCAATGAATAGACAAATTACTCGCAGGTTTATACAACATTCTGGGATCATGTTTTGGGAACGATATCTAGAAAAACTCCGGAGGAGATAGAGGAGCTTTACAAGAAGGGAAGAGAGAATGCGGAAAAGGCTAAGAAAGTCAATTGATTTTTAAGAATAGAGAAGAATGGTGCGGGACGGGTTTAGAAAGCCGATTATGGTGAGATGGTGCTTGAGGATTGAAGATTGAAGATTGAGGGCGGAAAAAGTTGATGGCATGCAAACAAAGTCGATGGATGTTTGAGTGGGGTGTTTTCCTTGTGTCTAATTTATGGTGATATTTTATATCTTAAGATTTTTTGTACTAAATATGGGTCATGGAATACTTCTCTTTCGTATTGTTCAGCTTAGTCTGTCAAAAGCAGAATAAAGGTCTTATTAATCATACTACTCCAATCTTGATTTCTCTCCAAGATATCGTCAGAATGTTTGGTTCGGTCGTTCAAATGCTTGTTCTTATCTTATGTGCACTGTACGTGTTACAATGACTTGTAGCTGAAGTCGGATTTTGAAATTACTGGTATGCTAATAAATCTCTCAGTGCTAAACCAAGAAAATGACGTATTGCGAAGAAAATACTGTTGGGAATGAGGAAGGATTAATGAGACATGGCGTTGCCACATTCCCATCTGTGTTCAAATGGATTTTATATAAAATTAAGGGTACATTTCACAAGTACACATGTTTTACCTGTCTCACTCCATAACCTGTAGTATACTCGCACAAGTACCGACAGTGTAGATGTGAAGTACAACATTGCTTACACAACAGACGTATTTTTAATTAGATGACAAATTACATTTAAAACTTTTGGTGTTTCTCGCACAGAGCTAGAGATTCAAAGAAAACTTAGATACATGTATGCAACGAACAACGAAAACGAGCGACAGAGAGATGCGTATTGTATATAGATCGGGCTGGAGAGAAAAAGTAGGAAATTTCCATTTAAAAAGCAAGGTTTTTGACACATACATAATGCCAAATATTTACCGAAGAGAGTGGTTTTATCTTCAGTCTATGCAAGGCTCACAGTTCTAACTTTCTACTCTTCTCGAAATAGATAGCCTCCAGTGAAAAACAGCTGTTGTATAATTAGCGAGATTCTCTGAAACGATTGAGAAGAAATATACTTACACATGGAATCGCACCAGTTAGTGAGAAAATGCCCATGGCTAAAGTCATAGCCTTCCAGCCAAATTGTGTAATCAACGCACCAGCGAATACTGGACCAAATATGGTAGCGGCTGCCATGGAGCAATTGAAAAGAGCATATGCCTGAGCATAAGCTCCGCCAGGACCAAATTTTCCTGGATTGGCGATCTCGATTTCTCCAACTACTAGAGACAAATCTGCGGCAACAGGTGCTACAATAAGAATAAGAGTACAACCTAAGGATCCAGATTTAGTAAGCGAACACAAATCATTGTGAGAAGAGAGGAGTTGAATAATTCATACCGCAGATAAACAATAAGACGCACAAAAGAATCTTTTGCTCATCTGTATCATTATCGACAAGTCGGAGAAGAATCAATGGCACTGCTGTGAGAGTACATCCAGCAACCGCGATCCAACGGGGACCTAGACGATCAGATAATGCACCGACCAGTGGACCTCCAAGTCCTGGGATAGCTATACACAAAAATATGAGACCAGCGGCAAGAGAACTCCAATGAAAGGTCTCTTTGACAAACAATGCGAGAACGCTGTCAAAAGTAGCGAGAATAGAAACGTTAACAAATATACCGTATATGGCGGCAACAACTCTCGGCGAACCGAGCAAGGTAATGACCGGTGGAAGACTCCAACCCTTAGATTCTCGTTTTCTGTTTTGTTTTCTATTTGGAAGAAGAGCGCTGGATTCGTCATAGTTAGGTATCCCAAATCCAGGAGGGGTAGAATTCGCGGTGTTGGAAGACTGTTCCCAACTATCGATGCTCTCCGAAGTATTGCTTTGAACCTCATGTTCTGTGGTATAGGTTTGAAAGGTTCCGTTGCCTTCAACTGTTGGCACTTTGACACTCTTGCCGAGGTATTTTTCGGCTGTCCGTTTCTCGATCATAAACATACGCAGTATGATGTCGATAACGATGAGTCCAGCAGCCATACCAAACACAGCCATATAGCCGGCCTTGTCATAAACAATGCCTCCAAGCAGAGGGCTGATTATGAGGCCAACACTGGAACATGACAAAGCTGTGCCCATCCACTGTCCAATATTTTCACTTCCAACAGTGTCAACTAATAGAGCGAGTCCAACGGTGTATACGATCGCAGCCGAGAATCCTTGGAACATTCTGCTAACTACAAGAAGCCATGCCTTCTTTGCAAACCCAAATAGTAGAGTTGCAGCCGCGAGGATAAATAAACCAGCAAAGTAGGTAATAGATCTATCGGCAGTATGGTCCGCGAGCCATCCGCAAATTGGAGATCCGACTACAATAGCGGCACCGAAGACCGCGAATATGAATGATGTCCACCATTGCACTATCTTCAATCAGCGAGTGATTAAGTCTCGAAGTTTTCTTACATACCATCTTCTTCCGGCACGCCCGATCGTTCTTGTAGACTGAATGGAAGAACGGGGACTACCTATTCATTGTCAGTACAACTTGGCATAGATTCGGCCACTCATCTTGTAGCATTATCTATATGAACGGTATGAACGATGAGACGGGGTGCTTACAACACCATAGAGGAAAGCATCCTAAGTCACGTTAGATATCAAAGACAGTACGGATCATCATTTGAAGCTTACTGTGAATATGGCACAGCACACTGTGGTAAGAATAAACCAGTCAGAGGATCGATGTTTAAGAAGCCATGGAACCTTCTGAGGCTTTGAGCTTGCACTCTCGATATCGGCTGTCATCTTCAAAATTTTCCGGTTTGATAATTTGATTCAGTATGGACAGAGACAGAGACAAGTTTTCGAACTTCAAAGTTGGCATCAATTTTTTCACAAGTAGAAATAGACACGTATGCACCAAACTTACATCATCCTCTCTACTCCTAAACAGATCATATTTAATTGTCAGGCCAATCATCTTGATGGCACGCTCACGCCGAGGCTTCTGCCACTTAGCCCCACCTCCATTGTACTTTTTCAGCTTGCCCACTACTTCGGGTTGATGATTTAACGAAGTATATTATAATGAGACACTTGTCATCACTAAGCAATATCTGGTACAACCTTCTGGTCCATTCGTATGGTCGGCGATAAAACCTATGGCTTGGTTGATGAATGATCGACACCTTCGCTGGGTTAAATGCAGGCAAGATTTTCTGGGACTCGCATACCATGCAGCTCACAACACCAAATGAATACAGCAAGTACAACAGAAAGGGCCGATGTGCTACCATACTAACTTTGTACAACCAATCGAGTGGCGTACGTGAGCCGCTTGGCACGAGTGACCAATGTGGGAACGCCGACATATTTGATATACTATTTAGAGTATTGATACAGTATCATCGTTTCTTGCTACCTATATACACAATCACAATTCCACGATTGTCGAGTATCGACCGTGAACATTACCCAAACTGAATAACACAAGTCATTAAGATGGGGGAACCAACAATCAACTCTGAAATCACTTTCAAAGGATGGATGGGGCTTGACAAGAACGCTTTAACCGATGGGTTGAAGTTAGCTCCATTCGAGCCTAAGAAATGGGAAGAGACCGACATAGATGTCAAGATTACTCACTGCGGTCTCTGCGCAAGTGATTTGCATACTTTGCGAAGTGGATGGGTAAGAAATTCTATACCTTGTTTGATCTAGTCTGATATTTTCTCGAGTAGTGGCCTACCAATTATCCTTGTTGTGCCGGCCATGAAATTGTTGGAGAAGTAACCCGTGTCGGGAAAGAAGTTGAGCGAAATATTACGTTGGTACATCCTATAAGCACGTGAAACTACATCCATCTGACAAAGAACAGTATTGGTGATAGAGTGGGAATTGGCCCCATCATTTACGTTTGCGCCCAAGAAGATTGTACGGAGTGCACCTCAGGTATGCCAAACTACTGTCCACGGAAAGTTGCTGCATATGAAGATTTTCTCCCCGATGGTAGCAAGACTTTCGGTGGTTTTGCAAATTATTGTAGAGTTCCGGGCATTGCCGCCATTCGTATTCCTCCAGCGCTAAGTAGCGCTGTGGCAGCTCCATTGCTCTGCGCCGGTAGTACCACGTTCGGTCCACTAGTGGAACGTCAAGGAAAAGGAAAGCGAGTGGGGATAATTGGTGTTGGAGGCTTGGGTCATTTTGCTGTCATGTTCGCAAGGGCATTGGAATTTGAGCATGTTGTTGCGATTTCACGACGAGAGAGCAAACGCGATGATGCCATCAAGCTGGGTGCACATAACTACATAGCTACCGAAGACGAGAAGGATTGGGCAGAGAAGTATGCAAAGTCACTTGATGTGATTGTTTGTACAGTATCATCCGCTGAGATGCCACTGAACAAATATCTGGGGTTGCTCAGGACGGGAGGGCATTTCTGTCAAGTAGGTTTGCCAGACGACTCCCTGCCGGCGTTTGACATATTTGGACTGGTCGAACGAAAGATCTCGATTCATTTCAATGATATACTCTCAATCAAGGGAACAGAAGACTTATTAGAGTTTGTATTGAGAAAAAACCTTCAGCCATTGGTTGAAGAACGAAAAATGAGCGATATAAACAACGTTTTGAAGGAGATGGAAGCTGGAAAAGCGAGGTATCGATATGTTTTGGTGAATAATGATTGAGCCAACTCAAAGGTCAGGCTCGATTAGATGGAAAATCTTTCAGAATAGTTCAAAAATTCAGATCAATTGGACATTTAGAAAAGTTTCAATACGTCAAAAACGATCACTAGTAGGCGTGAAGTTGTAGTACCAGCTTCACCGCCTTGTTCTGCCACTCAATCAAGACAAATCACGTGAATGTATCAAAATTTCCCTAAGATCGCAAACCACTACTTTCAAGAAAATTCGGATCGATTGATAACACTTCAGAACTTCTCCAACCCACTTAAATCAAGCCAAGGGAAAAGAAAAGAAAATGTTGATGGCCGTCACTATGATCATTGAAACAAACCAACCCTAATTCCTTGCCTGAGCTCCCAATCCCTCAGCAGCTTCTTTGCACTTAATCAGAGCACCCGCAACAACAGCTCTCACGTTCCCCTGTTCAAGCGCTAGTACACCCCTAATCGTTGAACCACCTGGAGTGGTAATATTCTCCTTCACAGAAGCTGGATGTTCTCCCGCCAACACTAACGCTGCGCATCCTTTCATGGACTGTGCTGCCATGAGCGTAGCATCCTTTCTCGTCAGACCGAGTGTGACAGCGCCATCAATCAATGCGTCGAGAATAATTGCAAAAAACGCAGGAGTCGACGCACCCAATGCTGTACAGG